GAGCTGCCTTGTTGTCTGTGCCTCTGAGAAGTTTCCATGTGGCTGAGAAGCTGGGTGGCAGCACAGTTGTGATCAGGTGCTCAGGTGCTCCCCTGTCTGGGTGGCAAGCATGCCCACATGGGATCCCATAGAGGAGGCCGGGCCTGAGGAAGCCAGGGAAGCAGGAGGGGCCGTGGGGAGGCCAGCAGAAATGTGGGCCTCCGCGGGGAGGGAATAGGCGATGCAGCATGGAGGATGAGAAGCCCACAGCAGCCGCACTAGGGCCCCAGGAGATTGTGGATGCCGTCGAGAGCATTATTCGGTGAAGGGGTGGGGACAAAAGCCAGATGAGACAGTTCGGAGGTGATAGGCAGGTGAGGACGTGAGACAGAGGGAGGACAGTGATTTGAGAACTGTGTCATAGATGGGACAGGAGTCCACATCCCAGTCAGCACCTGGAAGGTTAGGCTGGTTCTGCCCAGGGCCTGGCACGTAGTGTGCACTCACCAGATGGTCGCTGCCCTGAAAGAACTCAGCACCGTGCCTCCTTTCCTGCCTCTGGTGTTTGCTGTCAATGTGCAGAGTGCTGGACAAAACTGGGCCAAGGGAGCTGTCCCACTGCCTGCTGCCCTCAAGCAGAGCTGACCTGGCACATGCCTCTGGCATGCTTCACTGTTGGCCTGGCCGCCCCAGTGGGCCCAAGCAGGGGATGCCACCTGTTCCTTGGGCTGTTACGTATTTGCTGGGGCATTGAGGGGATGAAAGGTTTTTTTGTTTTTTGTTTTTGAGACAGAGTTTTACTCTGAGTGCCCAGGCTCCAGTACGATGGCATGATCTTGGCTCACTGCAACCTCCACCCCCAGGTTCAAGCAATTCTCCTGCCTCAGCCTCCCAAACAGCTGGGATTACAGGCGACCGCCACCACACCTGGCTAATTTTTGTATTTTTAGTAGAGACAGGGTTTCACCATGTTGGCCAGGCTGGTCTCAAACTCCAGACCTCAGATCCACCTGCCTCGGCCTCCCAAAGTGCTGGGATTATAGGCATGAACCACTGTGCCCGGCTGGATGAAAGGTATTGAGTACTAGGGGCTAGGAGGGACCAAGAGAAAGAGGAGAGATTTTTTGGTTCTTCCCATGAACTAAGCAAGGGAGGCAGGGGTAGCCCTTGCACCATGAAAGTGGGAGAGAAGTGATACAAAGGTTCATCTGATGTCACAGGTGTCACAGGTCTGCTTCTTGTAAAGGGCCTCCTGCACGGGGGGCCTCCTGCATGGTGGGTTCTGCATGGGGCTTTGCTGAGTAACCCCCATCCGGGCCCTATCCCCTTCCCTCATGGCCCTGTGACCTCCTGGCACCATGACCCTCTCCCTGCTCCTGGCTCTAGGAAGCTCCAAACCTCTCTCACCTGCCTGCCCACCTGCCTGCTAGGTTTCCAAAGCTAAACAGAGGGGCGGCTGTCTGGGCAGGGCAAGGGAGCCAGCAGCCTGCCTGGGTTCCTGTCCGAGTGTCCAACTTTGCTTCTTCCTTTTAGGGCAGCGTCAGGAAGGATCTTAGGAACGCCGTGTTGCTCTGGGGATGAGGTGGCTGGAACAGCAACTTAAAAATAGAAATAGTACCTGGTAGGGAGGGAAGGAGAAGGTTCAGAGGCTTGTCATTTAGGCACCCCAACTTCTATATCTTACCAAGGTGCCAGGTCCAGAAGGGAGGGGTAGCTAGGGCAGCTCCCTCACCCACACCTGCCTTCTCACCCCTCTCCTATTTCATGAGCATTTACCATGCATCAGATACATTCCTCACAGCACCTTTATCAGCAGGGATGCCCTTTTCATGCTACAAACAGGATCAGAGAGGTTGTCACTTATACAAGGTTGCACAGCATCTAGAGACACAGAAAGGACTAGAGCCCAGGACTTCTAACCCCAGCTCTTTCTGCTTCCCTCCCATCATCAGCCCCAGACAACCTGAGAGTGGAGAGGACAGAAAGTCAGGATATCAACACCTTGTACTCCGAAAACTCAGTGGTGGTTCTCACCCTCTCAGTGGGGTAGGTGGCCTCACACCCCACCACGGGCTAAACAGGGTGCATGGAGGATGTAGCCCCACTGGCCATTCTACACATTCTTGCCAACAGCTGCCAGGCACCAGCCTCACCATTGTTTTTTGCACAGCTGGTCTGTGCCAAGTGCCATTCTAGATGTGACCCCCAACTTCGGGGAGCTTGCATTCTGGGAAGGGAGATGGTCAGCCGGAAAGCCCCACCACAGGAGCTAGGCTGGAGGTCCCCAAGGTACACCAAGAAGCTCAAATGACCTGAACCTGGGAGGGGTGGCCAGAGGCTTCTGCTGGAGGAACCTTAAGTAAGTTAGTGAACTTGTCTCAACCTCAGTTTCCTCACCTGGAAAATGGGTTAGTTGCTGCCTCATAGGGCTTTGCTGAGGATTGGATGAGTGCAAGTGCTTAGCATGGCACCTGGCACAGAGAAACATGCCTCAGTAAACTTCAGCTGCCCATATCATTGGTTGACCCTCCCAACCAGAGTACAAGCCCCGGGAGGGCACAGATCATGCCTGCTTGTTCACCGCCGTATTTTCAGTGCCTAGGCCAGAAGCCAGCACAAGGTAAATGCTCAGAAAATATTAACTTAATAAGTTCATGAGAAAAGGCCCAGAAAAATTAGGAAACGGCAGGACAATTCCAGTTAGGAATAGACTCTCCTAGGCCAGGTGAAGTGGCTCACACCTGTAATCCCAGCACTTTGGGAGGCCGAGGCAAGTGGATCACCTGAGATAAGGAGTTCGAGACCAACTTGGCCAACATGGTGAAACCCCATCTCTACCAAAAAATACAAAAATTAGCCGGGCATGGTGGCACACACCTGTAATTCCAGCTACTCAGGAGGCTGAGGCACGAGAATCACTTGAACCCGGAAGGCAGAGGTTGCAGTGGGCTGAGATTGCACAACTGCGCTCTAGCCTGGGTTGCAGAGTGAGACTCTATCTCAAAAAAAAAAAAAATAGGAATAGACTCCTTTCTGCACCTGTATTTGCTCTAGCCGTAAAAAACTTTATAGCCAAGTGCAGTGGCACACCTGCAGTCCCAGCTACTCCGGAGGCTGAGGAGGGAGGATTGCTTGAGCCTAGGAGTTTGAGGCCAGCCTGGGCAATATAGCAAGACCCTGTTAGATATTATCTATTTAGATGATAATAATAATGACCTGTAATCCCAGTACTTTGGGAGGCCTAGGCAGATGGATCATCTGAGGTCAGGAATTCAAGACCAGCCTGGGCAACATAGTGAAACTCTGTCTCTACTAAAAATACAAAAATTAGCTGGGCGCAGTGATGCATGCCTGTAATCCCAGCTTCTCAGGAGGCTGGGGCAGGAGAATTGCTTGAGGCGGAGGTTGCAGTGAGCCGAGATTGCGCCATTGCACTCCAGCCTGGGCGACAGAGCAAGACTCCATCTCAAAGTAATAATAATAATAATGATACATACTATTTTAGTCGAGAGTCATTTTTTCCTTTATCCATCTGTTGTTCACCAACTGTGTATCTCTTGCCTGGCCCAGAATTGAGAGATAATGAGGGGCCCAGACAAACTCCCTGTCCTGCCTGAAGGGATGTTCAGTATTGAACAATTGTTGCTTTATGGCTTTATGACAAAGCCCCAGTGCTCATGATAATCTTTGTACAGTGGTGGGGCTGTAGGGAGCCCTAACATAGCCTGGGGAAGGCTGCCTAGAAAGTGGAGACCTGAAGGCTGAGGCCATGTTAAGGATTTAGGTAGAATTTATGCACTATGGTATTTTTTCTTTCGTTAATTTTTTATAATTTACACATACACATGGTAAAATGTGTAACAAGGCACAGTGTTACATAGCAAACATCAGCCTCACTCCACCTTCTCTCTCCACCTACCTGTCCACCTTCTAGATGCAGCCGTTGTTACCAGGCCTTGCGTTTTCCTGCAGCCAGAGTCCATTTGTATCCCGCATCTATATTTTTTTCCCGGCATTTGTTTCCGAATGGGATCTTGCTACTTCGGAGGTTCTCCACCTGGGATGATTTGGCACCCCCCACCTTCCCACCCCAGGAGACACTTAGCAATGTCTGGAGATACTTGATGGTTACAGATGAACAGGGGGGGCCAGGCATGGTGACTCGTGCCTATAATCCTAGCACTTTGGGAGGCCAAGGCAGGTGGATTGCTTGAACTCAGGAGTTCAAGACTAGGCTGGGCAACATGGCAAGACCTCATCTCTACAAAAAATTTTTAAAATTAGCTGGGTGTGGTGGTGTGCACTTGTGGTGACTAAGGAGGCTGAGGTGGGAGGATCAATTGAGCCTAGGAGGCTGAGGCTGTAGTAAACTATGATCATGCCACTGCACTCCAGCCTGGGCAACACAGTGAGACCCTGTCTCAAAAACAAACAAACAATTATTGCCAATTAGTGGGTAGAGGCCAAGAATGCTGTCAAACATTCTATAATTCACAGGACAATCCCCACTTATCTGGTGGAAAATGGCAACAGTGCTGAGGTTGGGAAGCCCTGTCCTGCATAAGCACAGGGTCTGCACCTTGTGTGTGTGTATATGTGTGTGTGTGTGTTCTCATGTATTTTCTGGATCATTCACATTTCTAGATCCACCTCATTATTCTTTGTGGCTACATAAAAATCCATTACCTGGATGCTCCACCATTTTCATTTAGGTATTTGCACTCTTTCTGCTATTATAACATTTATGCTACAACGGTTATTCTTTTCCATGCACATGCCTTTGATGTGTGAGGTCAAGGGAGAAACCGATGGAGGTGGGATGGATGAACCCAATGGTTCATTAGCATTTTAAACAACCTATTAAAGATACCTTCAGTCTCTCTGGGGCACATTATGTCTGGAGAGTGGGTCTGGGCCCTGGCTGCTAACCAGGGCTGAGATCCTCAAAAGTCTGGTGGAGAAACATCCTCTGCATTCCTCGTGTACAGACAAGGGTGTTCTGACCACCTGTCTCTCCACAGGATGAGGGTGTCCCCCACCTGAAGACGACAAGCCGGGTCCTGAGTGATGCCCCTGAGCTGAGTGTCCAAGGCCGGCCCGAGGAACCCCCATGGCCCCACCTTTCCCCATGGAGAAAGGACTCACTTTGCCCCAGGACTGCCGGGACTTTCTGCACAGCCTGAAGATGAGAAGCAAATACGCTCTTTTCTTGGTTTTTGTGGTGATAGTTTTTGTCTTCATCGAAAAGGAAAATAAAATCATATCAAGGTGAGGGTTGCAAGCCCAAGTCTTCATCTTCCTTTCGAGGTGGGGTGGGTGGGGACAGGGAGGTAACCGCAGGGCTCTCTGTGGACCTGCAAATGCATTCCTTCAACAAGCCATCCCCAGGCCCCTCCTGTGTCCCAGGCAGTGGCTTCTGCACACGTCCTCATGACTGCACAGGGGCGAGACTTGGGCTCTGGACTCAAACAGCCTGGGTTGGAGTCCCCCGTGTTGGCCCTCTACAACTGTGAAAGGTTAGGCAAGATACTTCACATTTCTGAGTCTTCAGTTCCTCTTCTGTAAAATGTGACTAATGATGGGACCAGCATTGTTGTAAAGAGTGAATGAGAAAATGTAAAAGCATTTAGCCCAGTGCCTGGCACATAGTTGGTGTCCAGTATTTGCTGGCTGCGACTATTACTATTAATTTACTTCCTGGCCTTGCATTAGCAGCACATCCCCTATAGAAGTCTTGATGTCATTGAACCCGTGGAAAGGCAAGGTCCTAGTATGGATACTCTGATGGGCAGGGCTGCCATGTGCAGCTGCCAGGCTGTGTACTGCTCAACTCCAGGAGCATGTCCCTCAAATAGGCTACCCTGGGAACGCCCCTTTACCTCTTTGAATTGGCAGCATACAGCTATGTGCAGTGGGCCTGTTCGATGTAGAAAGATTTCTTAGCCTGTTCTCCTCCCAGGCACAAGCCCTGCAAGAAAGCATTAGCTAAGATGGGTGGGTCAGGGATTGAGCAATACAGTGGACACTGTCAATGCCCCACTTGGGTCACTGAGCAAGGACCATTCTAACTTGTGCCTATTGGGTTCTACTGCAAGCCCCTACAGCTCTGCACCTGAGAGCTTTCTCGCCACCAGCACACTGGCAAGCCGGAAGTACTAGGGAGTAAATGTCCCCCCAGATTCCCATCAGACTGAGCCTCTGATGCCCACACCTGCTTCTAGCAGCATATCTGTCATGGACCTCTTTCCTCCCCTGCCTCACTTCCCTATCCAGTTCTTCCTGTGATCATGTCCCAAATAAACTAAGCATAAATCCTTGCCTGAAAGTCTGCTTTTGGGGAAACCCAACTGAGACAGATCTTGTTCATCTGCTTGGGGGACTGCTTCGGGTTGCCCAGGAGACGGGGTCCCCAGTCAGCCACTGACCCTGATGTTCTTTGTCCTCACAGGGTCTCAGACAAGCTGAAGCAGATCCCCCAAGCTCTGGCAGATGCCAACAGCACCGACCCCGCCCTGGTCTTTGCTGAGAACGCATCTCTCTTGTCCCTGAGCGAGCTTGATTCAGCCTTCTCCCAGCTGCAGAGCCGTCTCCGCAACCTCAGCTTGCAGCTGGGTGTGGAGCCAGCCGTGGAGGCCGCAGGGGAGGAAGAGGAGGAGGAGGGAAAGGAGGAGCCACCCAGACCGGCCGTGGCTGGGCCCCGGCGCCACGTGCTGCTCATGGCCACCACGCGCACCGGCTCCTCTTTCGTGGGCGAATTCTTCAACCAGCAGGGCAACATCTTCTACCTCTTCGAGCCACTGTGGCACATCGAGCGCACAGTGTCCTTCGAGCCGGGGGGCGCCAACGCCGCGGGCTCGGCCCTGGTGTACCGCGACGTGCTCAAGCAGCTCTTCCTGTGCGACCTGTACGTGCTGGAGCACTTCATCACGCCGCTGCCGGAGGACCACCTGACGGAGTTCATGTTCCGCCGGGGCTCCAGCCGCTCCCTGTGCGAGGACCCAGTCTGCACGCCCTTCGTCAAGAAGGTCTTCGAGAAGTACCACTGCAAGAACCGCCGCTGCGGCCCCCTCAACGTGACGCTGGCCGCCGAGGCCTGCCGCCGCAAGGAGCACATGGCCCTCAAGGCGGTGCGCATCCGGCAGCTGGAGTTCCTGCAGCCGCTGGCCGAGGACCCCCGCCTGGACCTGCGCGTCATCCAGCTGGTGCGCGACCCCCGGGCCGTGCTGGCCTCGCGCATGGTGGCCTTCGCCGGCAAGTATAAGACCTGGAAGAAGTGGCTGGACGACGAGGGCCAGGACGGCCTGAGGGAAGAGGAGGTGCAGCGGCTGCGGGGCAACTGCGAGAGCATCCGTCTGTCCGCAGAGCTGGGGCTGCGGCAGCCCGCCTGGCTGCGGGGCCGCTACATGCTGGTGCGCTATGAGGACGTGGCGCGCGGGCCGCTGCAGAAGGCGCGCGAAATGTACCACTTGCCCGGCATCCCCTGACTCCGCAGGTGGAGGACTGGATCCAGAAGAACACGCAGCTGCCCACGACGGCAGCGCATCTACTCCACGCAGAAGAACTCCTCGGAGCAGTTCGAAAAGTGGCGCTTCAGCATGCCCTTCAAGCTGGCCCAGGTGGTGCAGGCCGCCTGCGGCCCTGCCATGCGTCTCTTCGGCTACAAACTGGCGCGGGACGCCGCCGCCTCACCAACCGCTCAGTCAGCCTGCTGGAGAGGCGGGGCACCTTCTGGGTCACGTAGGGGCGCCGGGGCCCCGTGTGCCCCTCCTCGTGAAAGGCCTGCCCCGCCTTTCTGCCACAGCCCTCGCAGAGGGCGGGTGCGCAGCGCCGTGAGCGGGCAGCGCCTCCTGTAGCAGTAGGGCCCCCAGCCAGCGCTCCGCCAAAGCGGCGGCCCCAGGGTTAATCGCGGAGAACAGGACAGTGTCCGGTCCCCTTGAGGCCATCACACCAGACCCAAGGGTTGCAGCCTCCTGAGCAGGCCCAGGCAGGCCCGGCCTGTTGGCAAGCTTCGTTCTCAGAGAAACATACATTTGTGCCTGGAGACCCTGCAGGCCAGAGTCAAATTTAATAACCAGAAGGGCAAGGCTCTGACCAGTGACAGTGAGACCTCCTACTTTATTTGGTGTTAACCGTTTCTTGTCTGGATGGTGAAGTCTGGAATCTGGGTGGGTCCTTGGAGGAGGGGCCAGGACAGCCCTGGGTGTCCAAAGGTGGCCTTTGAGGCTCATTTGAGGTGACAGTGGCTGTTTACCAACCAGTACAGAGCGATTCAGCATTTTCATGAATGGAGATGGCTGGGTGAATCTGGGCCCCATATCGAGCTGAAAAACACACACAGCATATAGACATGCATCATACATGTACGCCACACACAGACAAGCCTCATAAAGGCACAAGTGCACACACATCTATGCAGACAAGCTTCCTCGCTGCTGCTTATGCCTACAGGGTTTTTCTGTATCACACACCTCAGAGGAGCCTGTGATTACATTTGTAGGATTATTTCGAGGGCAGGGCAGGGAAGGAAATACGTTAAAGGGCCATGACATGACAGGGTTCCCTGGCCAGGTTTGGGACTGAACGGCGGATTCAGAACTGCAGCGTTCAAAGCCCCTGCCCCCCTAGGTTCTCATGGCTACCCCCTCTGACCTATCCACATCCTTGCGGCTGGCAGGCAGGATGTTTTGAAATGGGCAGCCAAAGGCCCCGACCAGCTTGGCTTGCTCCCGATCATGTCTATATTGAAGGCTGCCTCAGGCCTGGCAGGGAGAGGCAGCTGTGGTCCCTGGCAGGCAAAAGGCAGCTCATGGGCTTCCATTTCCAGCCAGGCCTCATCTGGGCAGGGCCAAGAGGAAAGTACAGAGTACCAGTGGGGGAGAAGTCCGCCAGGATGCACCCCTTCCCTGAGAACCGCCTTCTCCCTCGTGGACAGGGTCGGCCAGCTGGTTGCCGTGGTTACAACCAGTGCCTGGAATTCCTCCTTAGGGCTCTGGGAAGAGTATTGCTCAATGCAGGATGTGCTGGGTGTTTATTTGGGGTTTTTAAAGTTATTTATGGCTTGGTGTCCTTGTTTTGTGGGCTGTGTTTTTGCTTTTGTTTCTGCAGGAGCGCCTCTCCCAAGCAGTGGGGGCTGAGGCTGAAGGAGGCTGGGGAACACCAGCAGGGAGCACTCCGCTCCTGGCAGAGGGAGAGGACAGGAGGAGGAGCCTTCCCCAGGAGGAGCCGAGGCAGAGGGTGCCGCGTGGCAGGCCACAGTGCCCTATGGGCTTTTCTGTTTGAACCCCATGTGGGATGAATCTCAAAGCCACCAGCGTTCTGGCCTAGTGTCCAGAGCAGTAGAGATTTGCAGCCCTCGCCCCTCCCTGAGAAGAAGCTGGATTTGAAAATCCCTCACAGGCCCTAACATGTTTCCTGGGTGGGCAGAGGCCTCATGATCAAGCAGCAAGTATACCCAGAGTAGAAGCCCTTCCCCACTCCCACCTCAAACCCAGGAGCAGAACTCAGTGTCCAGAGCTTGCAAGGGTTTGCCGAGGGCTGCCCAGCCCTGTTTCTGGTTTCCTGGACAATTTCTCTGTCAGATACGGCCCATTGTAAACCCAGAAGGCTGCATTTTGGGTTGAGTAATACGGACACCGGGGAAGTACAGAATGAGTCCAGCATTGCCGTGGGGGAGGGAAGAGTGTGTCCTGGCAGGAAGCCACCATTGGAGAAGGTGAGGCCAGTAACCGTCTCATGGGATTTGCAATCATCAGCCTATTTGAGCTGCTGGGTCTCTGTTACTGTGGACTCCAGTCATTCAAGGAGTTCTCCACTCTTGGGTATTTTTTTTCTTTTCTTTTGCTATTTTGCCTGAACACCCCAACACTCTTGGTTTTAGAGGCCAAGAGTAAGTTGTGCAGAGACATGGTTCTAATTTGGAGTTCAAAGGAACACCAGCTCTGAAAAGGTGACCATGGGGCCAGGATGTTTCTGGCAGGCTCAGAAGTGCTGGCTGCTCTTCCCCAGCCTCCCCACTGCTCCCTCCTCTGTTCCCCATGTGGAGGTGGGGGGTGCTGGGACTGGGGAGAGGGCAGCCACCTCCATCCAAAGCTCTTCCTAGGGGCCTTGCTATTGTGGACAGCAGACTTTATCCCTCCTTCTTACTCTGGGCCAAGACCTCCCACTCCGCTCTCTGAGGATGGTACCAAGAATGGGCCTTTGGGACTTCTCAGGACATTGACAATGTGCACACTGCAAGTTGACTTAATTTATTTATTTTGTGAAAAGAAGAGACAGAAAATACCTTATTATCTGCAGGGACTCAACGCTGTACCCGAATCAAGAAAGAAAATAACAATAAAAACCATTCACACACTCTGTTCATGCACGGACACCAGAAGACGATTCAGAACACCAGAGGAGAATAAGCCAGAGTGCCAGCACCACGATGGCCCTGGCACGTTGTTTAAGATCTGAGATCCCTTGGTTTCTCTCATGTTTATCTGAGATGCCACATCAGGGCCCTTGCTGCTATATTACCTCTGCCTGGGTGTTTGAGACCGGTCACAAGTGCGTGGGTGTTTCCTGGAAATGTATTCCCCTGGGACTCAGCGATGCTCTGGGAACCGTTGGGGTTTGGGGAAGGACAATGTGGTGTGACTATTGGCTTGACACGTTGTGGATGTGGTTGGAGTCATCCACGTGGACACGATTTTCAGCTTGGAGCTGGGATGGAGAAGATGGAAGCGCTGGGGGCCGGGCCTCCTTTTCCAGCAAGGCTGGCCCTGGTTTCTCCTCTGTTCCAGCTTGTCTGCCAGAAGCCTTCCCCTGCAAACTGCCCACCTGCCCGGAGACAGGGAGCAGCTGAGGCCTCTCTCCACTGGCCACCAGCCTCCCCAGCACAAGAGGACTATTCAGCTATGAGTGTTTACTCATGTTCTTTCTTATTGATGAGTTCTGCGGCCCAGCCTATAGAAATGGCTCAGAACATTCCAGGCCTTGGTGAGACAGAGCAGCATCCAGCGCTCACAGGCTGTCCCCGCTCTGCCTGTTTCCATCTTCCCCTTGGGGCCTGTTCATAAATTGAGGAACGGATAAGGGCCCTGGAGGGTCCTTGGGAGTAATTAGTGGAGGGCAGGATTCCCAGGTCCCCGTAGAGAGGGAAGGAGAAGCCCACGTGTGCACAGAAGCCCGTCTCTGTCACACACACACCGCAGGTGGTCACCGATTTATTTTCCAAAAGCTTAGAAATACAAAGCAAATTTAGGCTTTTGTCCCTCTGCGATACATGCACTTGAAAATAAACAGAAAAGAGATGTTTAATAACAAGTTTACTTCCTGTCTGCTAGCACCCTCAGCCTGGGAGGTACTGCCAGAGGCTGGCGTAGGGGAGCAGCTGCTGACCAAACCCCACAGAACGGAGGCACCGGCATCACACGACATCTTTCCCTCCCATCTCGGTCATCTATCTGTCTGGCAATGGAAGGAACTCCAGCAGGAGGTCCTTCCCAGAAGGTTGATTCTTGGCCTGGGTGGTAGAGGAGATATCCTGACCCTAAAGTCTTCCAGTCCCAGGTCATCCTCTGCTATGCTGGGGTCTATTGACCGTATAGGCCAGGTGCGGTGGCTCAGGCTTGTAATCCCAACATTTGGGGAGGCCAAGGTGGGAGGATTGCTTGAGCCCAGGAGTTGGAGACCAGCCTGGGCAACATGGTGAGACCAATTGACTGTAGGGCTTGTCCCTTGCTAGAACAGGAGCAGAAGACTGAATAGCTGTGTCCTCAAGGCAGTCCCCTCCCACCCCCATTCCCAAAGTCAGAAAGCGAAGCCAGATCTCAAAGGCTGATACCTGAGGCAAGGAGAGCTAAGGGGAGAGAAAGCGGGGTGGAGTAGGAGTAGACACCTTCACAAGCCAAGTGTGTCTTACAGATCTGTACAAGCTGATAGAAGGACCGCCTGCTGAAATCCAGGGCTCCTGAGTTGATGGGTTTGCTTGTGAAGCTTCTAGGACAAGGCACAGCCAGATGGAAGGGAGAGGATCCAGGACTTCCTAAATGCAGCCGCATCACCTCTCAACTCGCTGCAGTTTCAGAGACAGTGGAAGCTGCTCTTTACCTCAAAAGCACAAAGCAGAATTGGCAACTTCACATGTCTCAAGAGCTTCAAGATCCTTTGGTCTCGTGTCCTTTGGCACCCCGCAACTGTATGGGGGACAAATTTGTTACATGTTTCCAAGGCTACAGACATGGTGCCATCCTCACGGGCCTAGCTCATGTGAGGTACTTTGTGGATCAGGTACTTTGCTGGATCAGGTACTTTGTGGATCAGGTACTTTGCTGGGGGGATACAATGACCCAGGTGGTCTGAGTCCTCTGCCATTGGTTTGAACAGGGCACCCCCTGAAGTCTCCATCTCGGCTGTATAGTCTAGTCCAAATTTGCCTGGCTCCCCCGCTCCCTCCCAGGTCCTGCACACTGTCTTTTTGCCAACACCTCAGCCCTGTGTGCTATTTCATGTCTGCATGGTACGAGACACCGCTTCACGGCATATACTGCCACGGTATGTACATATGCATCCACGTGTATGTGTAGCATGTAGCTCATTCTGCTCAGCCTCTGGTGCCGTTCCACATTGCTCCCAGCCCCACTGCTGTCACTGTCGTCCCAGATGTCCTTGCCATGGCCACAGACAATCTGCCGTCTCCTGGAAACGCCGGGGCTGCCCTTCAGAGAGCTGGCAGCCACTGGCAGTCAGGGCCTGCTTTGCAGAATAGAATGTGAACCCATCTCCTGATGGCCTACTTGACTTATTTAATTAAAGATGAAAACATGCAATGAGCAAAACCTGCAGCGTGTCTCTGCCTTTTC